GAAGTTTTCCTTTGTTTCTGGAACCTTTTTGGAATATGGTCTGAAGCCAGCCTGTACTTGCAGACATCGATGAGTCCTCCCCATGGTATGTGTGTCCACGAGTACATTCAAATTGGTAAATACAGTGCGAGATGCGATATCATTAATTTTCGTATGATTACATAGTTAGTTGAAACATCCAAATAAAGTGTGAATATTGTGATTAGATAGTTAAGTAGGGGACTTTCCAAACAATTTTTCCCCCTTACAAGTGCTTTAAGCTGGAGCTTTGCACTTCCAGTAGCAGTGGTGTATTTGTTTTGCAGTTTGGAGTTGCTACCTACCCTGTTTACCGAACTTACTATCGAGTAAGTGAAAATTAGCTGCGGGGCGGTTGGGAATCATAGTTGGTGAGTGTTTTACAACACTGAACCATTGACGAACAGGAGTAGACGACTACATATAGAGGAGAAGTCAGTAGATGAGGCTATGAAACTGCATGGATTCAAATGTGCGTCGGTGGCACAGTGGTTAGGACTCTCGCCAACCATGCACATGGTCCGGGGTTCGAGCCCACGCCGGCGCACACTTGATATCCATGGTCGGCCTGCGAATTTCGGGCTACCGATATCCACGCTGAAAATTCCATACTTGTACCAAAAACACGGTGTGGAATCAAGGTGTAATAAAAAAATCTAAAAAAATCATGTGTCAGGCATGCTGAAGCACCGCTTTCCATGTCCATTTATGTTAACAAACACATAGGAATAAGTTAGAACAGAGTTAAGAATATTCGACCCAAAACACATGCATTAGTCCATGAAGTGTTCCACAGTTGATTTGAGCCACGTATATGGCTGGATTCACCGAGACGCTAAAAATCAATAATTGGAGAGAGACTTTTACTGAAATGACTGAATGGTACAGATGCATTCAAATTTTCAATTTTCACAATTCGATTGGTGAAATTCTCATTATGTGATGTGGCAATTTGAACTGCTGCATTTTGATACAAAATTCTCTACTTTGAAATTTCACTTCCCCTTCATCCTTTTCAAACTTTCTAAAAATGAGTGTGTATGTTGATCAGAATAAAGCAAATCAATATATGCAGATAGAAAATATGGCAACTTTCATGCATACACTGTGTGTTGCCATGGCAACAATGTTTAGTTTCTTCCTTAGAAGAAAATCATTCTTGAAATAATTATTGATTCATCGTTTAATCCCATTCGCTCCGTGTTTTAAATTCCATCCATATAATGAGTCTGATTGTCAGCAGGCGGGTAGCGATCACACTGGAACACAAGTAGATACATCCACCTGATGACAGTGAGCCACAATATACAACACAAACAAATACACATTATTTTCAAGCTTGATCACGGAGTGATATCAGTTAGAGAACCATTGCAAAGCAACCAGAGTACATGACCGCTGTGTCGCTCTAGTGTGCGACTCGTCGGCACTACGCACTTACTGGAGTTCGAACCTTCCCGTTACAAGGCAAACACGTAGAGCATTCAGACAACAAGATCCGATACACACTGGCCAACCCACGAATTCCAACTTCTGCCCAGTCAGTGGGTGCATCCTGCTGATGAGTCTCAAACTAAAATGAAACAACTGTCCAGTACCCCCTGAATGTTCTTAATGCTTCTGTAGTTGATATCAATCCGTAGCTAAGCTTGGAAAAAATTCCATGTAAAAAGTGACTCTTGAAGACATTATTTTGTTTAACATCAATTCTGTTTTTCCTGGTGACATGTGTTGGCTTGCTCCCAGTACGGACACTTCGAAGATATCCAAAAAATTAACACTGGTATCATTTGGTAGATGGTAGTCTGTAATGAAATGATGGATGCTCATTTCATCCTTTTGGGGAATCCTCGTCCACTGTCTCTATCTGCTACAAAAGCTAAAACTTGTCGGTTCAATCAATCAATGAGGAAAACAAAAATTCACTTACGCAAAAAACAATAACTTATCCCTGTTGTACAAGATTAATCTCTTGTGACCGGAATGTTCTAGTAAAATAACCCTTTGGCATACGAACATAGATAAAACAGAGGTGAAGAAGATTCCTGGCCAACACCAACAGCAACAACAACAGACAACAATCAGCCTGCATAAATGGGAGGGACCTGAAAGAAACAACCTCCTTCACCTACCTACCTACCTACCTGAGAAGCATCGTTTCAACTACAGGCAGACGGGACTGACGAGGATATCAAAGCCAGAATCGGAAAAGCAAAACAAGCTTTCATTACTCTCAAGTCTGTGTGGAAGTCAAAAGCACTCAGCATCAAAAATAACATCGGATTTTCAACTCCAATATGAGGTCAGTCAGTACTACTATACGGATCAGAGACTTGGCGCGTCATAAAGAGCATCTCAAACAAACTTCAAACCTTCATTAACAGTTGTCATCGCTCACTACCAGTCAAGATCAGATGGTGAAACAAATAAGCCGAAAGAAATGGAGGTGGATTGGAAACCATCAAGTGACATCACACGCCAAGCCATCGTTCGAATGGAACCCGAAAGGGAAGCGGCGAGTTGGCCGTCAGTGCAAGGATGACTTAGAGGAGGTCATGTGAGAAGGAGATGAAAGCATGTGGGCAGACTTGGAGCGGGGTGAAAACGTTGGCAGAAGACCGAAGGCAATGGAGATGTGCAGCTGAAGCCCTATGTTCCTCTAGGAATTAAAGGATATAATAATAATAATACGAAGCGATAGGCACTCTTTGGGTGGGAACAGAACCCCTCACTTTAGGTACTCTAGCTAGGTACATCTGACTGACGAGTCTCAAGATGGGACGAAATACACTTTCCTGGATTTTACACTGTTTAGTTACCCAAAAAATATTAGATAAAAATAAACTAACAGTTTGCGGTCAATAAAATATTTTTCTGAAAAATCTTTTTTTGTTGTTGTCCTCTACCAATAAAACAATAGCTTGTATAAACTGCATAAATTATGCTATTTTGTTTAACCTTTCCAAGGATGCTTGGATGGTTATCTCACCCACCGGTTATGGTGTTCGTTTATGTAACGTTTTATGTAACGCTGGAAGAGATACGCATACACACTATGCACACAATGAGCAAATTAATCATATCCTAATTTTGCAATGTAGCTTCGTTTCGTGCTCTTTTGCATGCACAACTTGTTGAAGTATACCGTATATCAATATGTAGGTGTGTGTGTGTACACGTGTTGCAGCACACAAACACTAAATGAAGATGATTCGACAATTTAGTGTGTGTGTGTTTGTGTGTGTGAGGGAGGGAGAGAGAGAGCATGAGTGTGTTCACATGTTAAGCAGAGAGATAAAGAGAGAATATACACACCTTCACAAGGTGCAACCTAACACACACACACACTATAGCACACTAACTAAGGCCTACTCACCAAAATAGACCAATCAAATTGCTGATACATTCACCTATAAAAATGTAGCACATATATTTCGTCATCTTCGATCTTTTGTTTGCCATAAACGTGTACAACATTGATTATCATATATAAATATCTATAAATATATATCAAGATTATGTCAAAGAGGAGCTTAATTTTTAACCCGTGATCACTGGTGCTGTTCAGTAATTATTAAATGGAACTACTAGTTTCACTAGTATTATTATAATTTGTGGAATATCTTATTACACATAGTCTAAAAGGCAGAAATGCGTATTAAATAAAAAAACAAACAATGGACTAAGGTGAACCTCATAATCTCTTGTAATCACCGGTGTGAAACATCTCTGTCTCTATATTTATATACACATGTGTATTATTTACGTGTAAAAGGAGATATGTATTTGATTATAGTACTGCTAATATACAACACTATATTAGTGATACCAAGATATTCTTGTCAACAGTATAATGAAGAAATAATAATGTCAAGTGGATTACCACAAATTTCAGTGACTTCTTTACAATTACCACTAAACGATCGGCGAATAAAGACGTCGAATCCTACGCCATCACCGATGGCGATGATGATGATGGATGAGTTACAACAGACACACAATTTTTGCTTATTGATGTATATCAATGAGCCAAGAAGTATTATTCCATCTTCAGTGGATTTATTCAACTTTTATTTACAACCAATAGAATCGAATGAAATGTCTGAAAGATTATGGGCTGTATTTCAGTTGACTAGTAGAAGGAATACCATGTATCCATATAATTTAAACTCATTATTGACGCCTATATTACAGTATGTAAATAATTCATCGAGTATAAATCAAATTGAACTACCAGTCATTAAACCATCATCCGACTTAATGCATATATTCACTTTTTCCCTATACAACAAGCTATTTATTGATAATGGTGTTAAAGTGATTGGAAGACTAGCCACACCAACGATTCCATCATGTCTAACAGAGGAGAATATGCCAAACTTTTGTTTATCTTTAATTAACTGTGAAGCGATTATGCCAACATTTGATGATCATTTAGATGGGATACCCCAGCAACGACGACGTCGTTATAAACGTGATGCATCGTCAGCCTCCTCAACATCGACAAATTCAACAAATACTGATCAATCAAATCCTACTGGTCTAAGTCCTGGCCTACTAGCTGTTGCCATAATTGTCCCGATAATTGGGGTTGCTGCGTTAGCTGTAGGCGGTTATTTCTTATATCGTTGGATACAATCACGTCGTACAGCGCATGGGATATATCATCCCAATCAAATGGAGAATAAAGCGAATGCTTTTAAAGAGCCTGAACCACAGACAATTATTAAAATACCACAAGAAGAAAGATTAATTTAATTTATAAAGGTCTTGTTAGATGACAGACAGACAGACTCACTAAGGCGAAATCCACTCATTCTTTATACGATTTATTACTATTATCATGATTATTATTATTATTTTGTTTCTACAACGATTTTTGCTCATTATTACATAATGATGTCTTTCTTTCATTGTTCTGTTTTTTTTCTCTATTTCTTCTGTTGATATCTGTCTGCTTTTGTGTGTGTCTGTGTGTTTAGCGCAAGTGTATTGAATTCGCTCTGAAAGCTAGACCAGTGAAACGGTATATACCAAAGGAGAATTTTCAATATCGTATCTGGTGGTTTATCACTTCACAACCATTTGAATATTGCATTTTTATCTTCATATTAATTAATACAATATCATTGGCAATGAAAGTGAGCTCTCCCCTACCCCCACCCCATCCCATTTTTTTTTCTGCGTCTTTGTCGGTGTGTGTGTCGATGTGTCTGTGTGTATGTGTAAACTTTGGTTCCTTTTGTGCATGTATTTTGATTATTTGTTATCAGTGTCTTTTATTTGATCTGTTAGTGCCTTTTGGTTTTAATATTTATGCGCTCTATTTAAATTAATGGCTGTGAATAATTCTGTGATGATCACAATTTACTTTACTTGGAAAGTGTTGAATATATAGAGTTGAAGAAGACCAAGCTTGATGCTATAGACAGTCTGTTGAACAGTAATTGCGGATGACAGGGATAACTGGCTGGTTAGCTGACTTACGCGCTTCATTCCTTGAGTGTGTGTGTGTGTGTGTGTGTGTAGTAATCAGTAAAATAACAATCTTATTTTTATTGTATCTTCGCCCACTAAACTTGTAGTATACTGGAGGATGAATAAATCAATAAATATTGATTTTTAGTTGAATTATCTGATTCTAAGTTCCCCATTTTCCGGATAGAATATATATTCTTGTGTTGGCCGAATAAACTTGGAATTAAGCTTTGTTTTTACGAGTGAGTTCTTTAAGGATCATGAGCCGACGTTAGTCGGTGGGGGGGGGTTAACCAATGGAACAGCTGTTTCGCCCTGGTCTCTGACTCTTCACCAGTACACACCCACTGTAGTTGAAGCCTACAACCTTCTGGCTACAAACTAAACTGAAGAAGCATTCAGTCACTGGTAGACCAGACTCAATGGCGGCCGGCCTATAGATTCCAACGTCTGTCAGTTCGTAATTATAGTGTGGCTACCGGGCAATATTATTGGCGAATATTCGTCAAGGCAGTACTAGACACTTTAGTTCCCCTTCTAATGATTCTCTTTTTTATTTCTGTACGTTCCCAGTGTGGAACATGGGGCTTCAAGCTAGAGGCTTGAAGTCTCTGTAGCACTGGTGTTTATTTTTACGGGGTGGGATTGCTAGCCTGATGCCCAACCTTCCCCCTTTACCAGATTTATTACTAGCTTAGCAAGTTAAAAGAGTGCGTCAGTGGTCGGGTTTCGAATCCCGGACCATGTGGATGATCGGCGAGCATCTTAACTGCTGTGCCACCGACACACCAACTTTTGTATAATTTATTTCATTTAATTTTAATGACATACATATGATGGTGAATGTGTCAGAGTAACCGAAATCTTTCTATAGTTTTGGTTTGTAAGGATTAGTTATGTTTTACGAGTTGATCACGGATTGATATCAGTTAGAGAACCAGTGAAAACCAGGGAGTACTGGACAGCTGCTGTTTCATCCTAGTTTGGGAATCATCGGCAGTACGCACCCACTGGGATTCGAACCCGGGACCTTCCGGTTACAAGGCAAGCTCGTATACCATTCAGCCACTGGGACCCGATTCAATGGCTCGTGAATTCTAACTTCTACCAATTCGTGATTTAGCGCGACCCCAACCGAAATCGAAAACATCAACTCTACAGACCCCACGGCTTAGTTTGTAGCGAAACTACAAGTCTCATTACTAACTGACTTCTCATTTGGAGAACCACTGAAGACAGAGTGTATTCCGGAGTTATTTTGTCTCAGTTTCAGACTCTTCAGCAGCACACGATTATGACCACTCCCCTCATCTGTAAAAAAAAACTCCGAGACTCTCACAAGGCGACCTCACTGACCATTCAGACACTGAGACCCAATCCTATGGTGCGTCAGTCCTGACTTCTGTCGATTTATGAAATATATATATAGTGTGTGACTAGTAGCCAGTGTCACTGGCCAGCACTTATCATAATTCTCAGTTTAGGGGATCCCACTAATAATAACTTCTCACTGGAACTTCACACAACTTCACGCTGTAGTCAATTACTGGATTAATTTTCAGGTGTCGGTTTCTTTAGATACCTAATATAGTACGAAACATAATATGCTACATACATAGGCTCAGCATTAATATAATCGTTGTAATATATTTATCCCTCTCTATGCAGGAATACACCAGTTGTATAGACATATGTATGGGTATTATTTTAGGTTACAGAAGTACGTTTTATGTGGTGAATTTACACGGTTGCTGATTTTTTTCGACTTCAGTTTGTCGGACAAATTCAGCGAAGAAAATACTTCTTTATCGACGAAATCATCTTCAGAGGCTGGCTGTACAGTCCTATTTATATTTACCAAAAATGTATAGTAATCCATTACTGAGTAACACAGGGGTGTGTGTGTGTGTGTGACATAATTGATATAGTTACTCAGAAGTGGCTTTAGTAGTGAAAATTAAAAGCTGCAAACTACGTGGTACTCACCGGCACAAAGGAAGAAATTCGATAAGGTTAAAATTCCTATTGAGTGAGAATAAAGCTGGTAGAGTTGAGTGTCAATTTAACAAGTGTGAAGAGGGTGTGAAATGTACAGAAGGAGCATATGAGAGTGATATAATAGTGAGTTAATTATTAAAGTAAAAGTAAACTAAAAGTAAAATTAAAAATTAAAAAAGAAAAGAAAAAATCAGGGAATGACTTGTGAAGAGGTTAAGACCAAAGTAGGATAAGAGACTGGACAAACCTTTCTGTATACACAGAGTTCGAGGTTGTATTGACGAATTGCCAGCATCTCCACCATACACAAAAGCCGAAACCTGACGCCCTTTCTACCAATCTGCTTCACTTTGTAGATGATGTTGACAGACGACTCTGGTGGAGCTACGTGGCCTGAGTTCTCCAAAAATGCTCAAGACTTGAGGTAGTAATTGTCTCGCATTTGGAAGTATAGAAATATTGTCTTTGCATTAACGAAAAACACCCGGAAATGTGCTCGATGGATCACAAATACCTGGAGAAAAATAAAGCTTGAAGACACTTCTCCCTTATAGCTTAGCCTGTGTACTCCAATATATATGAACACTTAGTACAGAAACTCTTTGCATATTTAATTTCAAAACATTTCCTCTTCATACACGATTTATACATGTAAAATAATACATCTGAAGTGTATCTTGTAACGTAGCTTTGTTGCTATCTATGAAGAGAGAACCAATCCTGCACATTTTTCTGTCTGTCTGTTTGTTTTCCACATAGAACTTTGCACCGATGTGCAGCAGTTCGAGTCACCACACTCCACTCCATGTAGCATACAAAGCAAGACAAGAAAGTACAAGAAATGCATAACAGAGAAAGTAAACAGAGGTGTGAGACAAAGGAATAGTAATAACGAATAGTTTCATTGGAAACGATAAGTCACAAGGAGTGGATGTATCTGCGCTATCCATTGAGAACGATACGTTTGAGCCATATCACCAATTGTTTCCAGCCATTGGTTTTTACCGTCTCGAGGACCATAACCAGTCAAGAAATCTACACCTTCCTAGGTGACTTAAATTAAGTTTTGTGGATTTCATTGACTGGTGAAGCCATGTTTTGGTTTGACCGCCTCTAGCTCTTCTCCAGCCTGACCTTATGTCAGCTAACATTGCTCGTCGAGGAAAGCGATGACTAGGCATACGTAACACATGTTCTAACCATCTCAATCTGTGTAACTTCACAGCCTCCTCTATTGATTTCCCCTCCTTAGCTAGCAATCGACTAATGCCTAACCTTAATATTGCTCATCCTACTATATCACTTTACCCGGGAGATAGAATGCAGACGCCTATGATCAATGACAGCTAGCTAGGCTTTTCATGTCTTCCACTCTCAATGGCCAGGTCTCACTAACAGCCATAAAGGAGGATGGAGAGGACTGCTGAGCAGTACACCCACCCTTTAATGGACAGCCAGCCGTATATCACGCCTACGCTAGAGATGGCGTAAATTGGTATATGCGAAACTAGCCCTCTGTATCCGTGCTGAGATTTCGTCAGAGATCAACCCGTTGGCGTTGGCTGATGGTACTTCCCATATAATCGAAGCATTCAACGTTCTCTACCACTTCACTGCCTATTTCTAAGCTAGGAATGAGTCAGTGTAGTCCAGTCGTGTCAAACCATCTTGCATTTGGCGGGAGCGAATCGCATACCAACATTCGCAGATTGCAGCTCAAGGTATTCAGAAGACTCTACATTTTGTCAGCGTCCTCGCCTAGAAGGATTATATCGTCTGCATATTCTAAGTCAACGAGATTATTTCTTGGTAGCAAGTCAATCTCTGGATGAAATCCATTAGTACATATATGATGAAGCTGAATAGAAATGGGGATAATGGGCATCCCTGACTGACGCCACTAGTCGTCACCACTTCAGATGACAACTCGTCGTAAGCCGTCACTTGACTGCATGAGTTTGAGTAGAGCTGCACATTTTTGCTCTTCATTTCCTTCGAAAATTGTACAGTGTTTATTTGGAAGCCAATTAGATATGCACGTGAGTTCGTGTACTGGTTGTCTGATATAATAGCACGATTAATACAGCAAAGTTAAACTTTAAGCACCACTAACTACCACCAATCAGTGAATGACCTCGGTCGCACCAATCACGTGAAGGAGGCGTTTTGTGTATGAAATACATATATTTATGAAAAAATTGCATAAAACCTGTATAAAAGTGCTACAGACGATACCTTCCTCTAATATTTGATAAAAATAGCTCTCAGTTTTAGGTTGGAGTGTTAACAGAGTATACTCCTATTGTAGGTGAAATTTATTTTGATAGTCTCATAGTGTAATACAGTAATATTTACTGGGCAGTAAACTGTGCTCGAAACCTCATCAGTAAATGTTACTTTATAATATTGTGAGAATTTATCAAAATAGATTTTACCCACAGTGGAATTATACTCCACTGCCACAGTACACAAGTTCTATTCTTATGTCAACAGAGTAATTTAACCACATTCTATGTTTGTAATTATTTAGGTTTTCTAAGCCTAACAATAACCAAAATCTTTCCTTAACCTAACCATAACGTGAAAATATGCCTAAACTAACTGCAGTCTAACTTGAACTAACGCTAATACCACATTTAATAGGTTAACCTAACCCTAACTTGTC